TTTTTGTCTTTTTGAGACAGAGTTTTGCTATGCAGTTCCGACTGACCTTGAACTGTTTGTAGCCCAGGCTGGCCTAGAACTCACAGTGATCCTCCTGCTGTAGCCTCCTGAGTGCTGGGATTACAGGCATGCTTCACCCCACTCGGCCATTAATTCTTTAAAATACTTGGAAAAGCCAGGTGTGGTGGCACACGCCTATAATTCCAGCACTCTGGAGGCTGAGGCAGAGTGATCATTGAATTCAAGGCTAGCCTGCACTACAAAGTGAGACCCTGTTTCAAACAAACAAACAAAATAAAACAAAACAAAATTTGAGCTGGACATGGTGGTGCACCATGAACTAATCCTAGTTCTTGGGAGGCTGAGGCTGGAGGATCACCGTGAGTACGAGGCCAGCCTGGGCTATATAGTGAGTTTTAAGACCAGTCTGAGCTACACAGTGAGACCCTGTCTCAAAACAAAAAACAAACCTGGAAAGATGTCTTTCTGTGGGACCTGACAAACTCATTCAAAAATGTACATGAGCAAAGTGCCCCAACATCATGAGCTCCACAGGAACCAGCCCTTGTCTACCGACACCACCCCCAACCGGGCCTGGGTCTTGTGGGGTCCCCTTGGCCCAAGGCGAGCTCATAGAGATTTGTCTAGGACTCCTATGTCCAGAAGGGCAGGAGAGGAGCTGTGCCTGGAATCCCCCTGCTGAGATGCCCACTGCTTGCTTGCAGTCCGGCATCTGTGGTGTCCCCTCACTGGACCCTGCTCCTCCCATCCTCAGCTTGCAGTTCTAGACCAGTGACTCCTGCTCAACCTGCTACTGAGAGCCGCTGTCCAGGCCCCCGCTGTCCGTGCCCCCACTGATGGCTTCAAGCAGGAAGGGACCCAAACTGAGGCTGCCACTCCTTTCCCCAGGTCCAGGAGAGGATGTGACCACCTTGGGCAGGTGGGCACTTCTGCTGCCAGAAGCTCCTTGAGTAGGGCCCAAGAGAGGACAGCAAGGCCAAGGGACGGAGAGGGTAAAACCGAGTCCTTGGGATGCTGGACCTAGCCTTGCCTGAAGACATCAGACAGATCCTCTTCTCCTCTCCCCGCCTCCCTGTCCCCCTGTCCCTACCTCTCTCCACAG